TATTGTAGAGATGAGGTCTCGCTGCCCAGGAGGGTCTCGAACCCGCGGGCTCAGGCAATCCACTCACCTCAGCCTCCCAAGGCGCATCTTTCCATTTTTTGGATAATGTCTTTTGATGCACAAAAGCTTTTAATTTTTATGAAGCCCTATATATGTTTTTTCTTTTGCTGTGTATACTTTTTGTGCTAAGTACAGTACCTCTTGCCAAATATAAGGTCATGAAGACTTTCTCCAATGTTTGCTTCTAAGAGCTTTATGGTTTTAGCTTTTATATTCAGGTTGTTGGTCTATGTTAAGTTAATTTTTGTGTATGGTGTGAGGTAAGGGTCCAGCAGCATTCTTTGTGCAGGTGGAAATCTTTTTTTTTTTTTGAGTTGGTGTCTCAGTCTGTCACCCAGACTGGAGTGCAGTGGTCACTCCCCGGCCACCGCAGCCTCGACCTGCTGGGCTCTGGTGATCCTTCCGCCTCAGCCTTCCAAGTAGCTGGAACTAGAGGCGCGCGCTACCACATCCAACTCATTTTGATTTATTGTAGAGATGAGGTCTCACCAAGTTGCCCAGGCAGGTCTTGAACCCGCGGGTTCAGACAGTCCACTCACCTCAGCCTCCCAAAAGCGCGGGATTACAGGTTGAGGCACCGAGCCCGGCTCAGGTGGAAATCTATGCTTCCCAGGACTATTTGTTGAAGTCTGTTCTTTCCCCATTGATTGGACTTGGCATCGTAGTTAAAAATTGGTCATTGTATTAGTTTTCTAGGGTTGCCAAAGTAGCAAAAACAACAGAAATGAATTGTCTCACAGTTCAGAAAGTCAGAAGTCTAAAATCAAGATAATCAGCAAAGTTGGTGCCTTCTCAGGGCTGTGAGGAAGAATCTGTTCCATGCTCTCCCCTGGCTTCTAGGAGTTTTCTGATGATCTTTGGCTTGTAGATACATCATTGAAATATCTGATTCCATCTTTCGTGTGTGTGTGTGTGTGTGTGTGTGTGTGTGTGTGTGTGTGTGTGTGTGTCCAAATTTCCCTTTTATAATGACATCAGTTATATTGAATTAGAGACCAACCATTTTAACTTGATCACCTCTGTAAGACCCTATTTTCAAATAAAGTCACATTCTGAGGTACTAGGGTTTAGCAATTCAACATATCTTTTTTTTTTTAGGACAGAAAAAGCTTATTTAGAAAGTAGATCAGAGAAAAAGGGTGGATCCACCTCTCCAAGATTAGAGAGGAGGCCAGTTGCTTAAGGAACGTTTGACCCAACATATCTTTTTTAGAGGGCTATAACTCAACCCACAATACTTGTAGATTATTGGATTTATTTTTAGACTTTCAATTCGATTCCATTGGTCTACCTGTCTATTCTTATGCCAGTACTGCACTGTTTTGATTACTGTAGCTTCATAGTAAATTTTGACATTGGGAAATGTATGTCTTCTGGCCTTGTTATTTTTCAAGATTGTTCTGGCTGTTCAAGGTCTCTTACAATTCCACATGAACTTCAAGATCGGATTTCCATGTCTGCAAATAAGGTTGTTGGAATTTCCATGGGGATTGCATTGAATCTGTATAGGTTGCTTTGGGTATTGACATTTCATTTAGATTTTTTTTTTTTTTTGAGTCAGGGTTTTACCCTGTCACCCAGGCTGGAGTGCAGTGGCACATCACAGCTACCACAGCCTCAAACTGCTGGGCTCTGGTGATTTTCTGCCCACCCCAGCCTTCCAAGTAGCTGGAACTACAGGTGCACGCCACCACGCCTGGTTAATTTTTTTTTTTAATTGTAGAGACAAGGTCTCGTCAAGTTGCCTGGGTTGGTTTGGAGCCTCTGGGCTCAGGCAATCCTCTCTTCTTTGCCTTCCAAAGTGTTGGGATTACAGGCGTAAGCCACCACACTTGGCAGATCTTATTTTGTAGTTTTCAGTGTACACGTCCTTTCACCTTCTTGGTTACATTTATTCCTTGGTGCTTTATTTTTTTAGATGCTATTGTACATTGAATTGCTGCCTTTTTTGGGTTGTTCATTGCAGGTGTATGGAAACACAACTGATTTTTATGTTGTTTTGTACCCTGCATCTTTGCTAAATCTGTAACCCTAGTAGCTGTCTTTTGGTTCCCTGGGATTTTCTATATATAGGATCATGTCATCTGCAAATAGAGATATTTTTACTTCTTCCTTTCCAATCTGGATGCCTTTCTTTTTCTTGTTTAATTGTTCTGACCAGAACTTCCAGTCAAACATTGAACAGCAGTGGTAAAAACGGGCATCCTTGTTTTGTTGCTGATCTTAGGGGGAAAGCTTTTAGTCTTTCACTACTGGATGTGATGTTAGCTTTGGGTTTTCCAGAAGTACCCTTTGTCATGTTGAGAAAGTTTTCTTCTATTCTGAGTTTTAGGAGTTTTTTTTAATCACGAAAAGTTGAATTTTGTCAAATACTTTTTCTATGTTTTGAGATGATCATGTGCCCCCCTCACCATTTGTTCTATTAACATGGTATATTACATTGATTTTTGTATGTTGAAGTACCCTTGGTTTTCTAGAATAAATCCCACTTGGTCACAGTGTATAAGGTTTGCTAGTATTTTTTGAAGATGTTTGCATGTATATTCATAAGGGATATCGGTCTGTAATTTTCTTGTGACATCTTTTTTGTTTGTTTGTTTTTTGGGTTTTTTTTTGTTTTGTTTTTTTTGAGTTGGAGTCTCACTCTGTCGCCCAGATTAGAGTGCAGTGGCTGCTCCCGGCCACCGCAGCCTCGGCCTGCTGGGCTCCGGCGATCCTTCCGCCTCAGCCTTCCGAGTAGCTGGAACTATAGGCCCGTGCTACCACGCCCAGTTCATTTTGATTTATTGTAGAGATGAGGTCTCACCAAGTTGCCCAGGCGGGTCTCGAATCCGCGGGCTCAGGCAATCCACTCACCTCAGCCTCCCAAAGGCACAGGATTACAGGCTGAGCCACCGAGCCCGGCTCTTGTGACATCTTTATCTGTTTTCGTTTTATGGTAATACTGACTTCATAGAATGAGTTCGAAGTGTTCTTTCCTTTTCTGTTTTTTTGGGGGAAATTTGAGGAGCGCTGTTGTTAATTATTTAATTATTTGATAGAACTCACAGGGTAGCCATCAGGTCCTGGGCTTTTCTTTATTGGAAGGCTCTTGATTAGTGGTTCAATCTCTTATGGTACGTTTATTGAGATTTTCTATTTCTTCTTGAGTCAGTTTAGGTAATTTGCATTTCTTGAAATTTGTCCATTTAATTTATCTAATTTGTTGACTGACATGCAATTGTTGATAGTATTCTCTTATGACCCTTTTCATTTCTGTAAGGTCAGTAGTGATGTCTCCATTTTCATTTCTGATTTCAGTTATTTGTGTACAGGCTGACTTTTGAGCCCAACTTCAATCTTGACTCCAACTTCTACCTTAATCCATAACACCACCCCAACTTGACCTCTGACATCTGACCCTTGGCCTTTCTAACCTGACTTCTAATTGCATCCTGTAATAGCCTGACTTTATTGATCTTAACATTCATCTGCTGCCTTGGACTTTGAACATGTATTGCCTGACATCTAACCTTAATCCCCTGCCCCTGACCCAGCCCTGGGCTGGGGTGACTTTTGACCTCTGGCCTCCACAGCCACACGTTCGGCAAGGTCCAGGGCAACAGCGACCTCTACTGGAAGTCGCAGCGGTACAGCCTCATCCGGGAATTCCACTCTCGGCCAGCGCTGGCCCCGCCCCTTATCGTTATCTCCCACGTGCGCCTCCTCTTCCGGCGATTGTGCCGCAGGCACCGGATCAATTTGCCGCTCTCCCCGGTCAAGCATTTCCGTGAGAACAGAGCTTGGCTTTACAGGGGGCGGGAAGTGGAGAGAAGATGGTCGTGGAACGGGGGGGAAATGCCCAAACCGACTAGTGGGCGGGGCCTATGTGGTGAGGGGGCGGGGCTTGGGCTGCGAGGGGCCGGGCTTAATTGGTGAGGGCAGGGCGGGGCCTAAACCACCAGGGGCGGGGCCTGGGCCAGGGAGCGCACTCTCCGGGGGCTTCGGCTGAAGAGGCTGGGCTTGGGAAGGAGCTTGGCCCCAGGCGGGAGGGCCCTTTGACCCCATCTGTACCACTCTCCAGGGATCTACCTCTCTAAGGAGGACGAGCGGACGCTGTTGACGTGGGAATCGGTGCAAAAGGAGAACTTCCTGCTGGCGCGTGCTCGGGAAAAGCGGGACAGTGACTCCGAGCGTCTGAAGCGCATGTCCCAGAAGTGAGGGCGGGGCGTAGCCGGGGCGGGGCCTATCTTGGGCGGGGCTTCCCTCCCTGCGGTTTACTTCAGCTGAGAGGAGGGAGGAGGTGGGGCTTGCGAGGAGCCGGATATGAAGGCGGAGCCTGGGGGCGGGGTCCTGGGGCGCTACGGCCCAGGCCTGGGGGAGAAGGCGGAACTGTAGGGGCGGGG